AATAGTACCTCAACAAATTTGTTGAGTAACTATAACAAATTCAACCAAAAGTTAGTTTAAAAATAATTTGTTGAGATTGATAGAGCAAGTAGATTATGACTTTCTAAGCCTCTGTTTGGCAAGTTGGTTCTTGGGCTTTTTTGGCTATTTTAGCCACAAAAGACAAAATAGGCTATTTTAGCCATAACAAACAAAGCATCACATCCAACCCATAATCATTACATTCTTCTCTCACAAAAAAACTCAAAAAAGCCAAAAAGCCAAAAAGCCCTTCCCAAACCAAGCTTTTAAGCCCAGGCTAAAATAGCCAAAAAAGCCAAAAAGCCAAAAAGCCAACCCACTTCCCAAACGGAGGCTAACTATGTTTCACTTTTTGGCTATTTTGATGGGACTAATGTGGATGCTCTTACAAGAAGATTTTAAAATCAATTTTATAAAAAAATAGATATCTACATAAAAAATTGAAAGTTTAAAAGAATAATAAAATTATAAATATGGGCAAATTACATATACACCCCTCGAAGTTTGGCTAAATTACAGATGCCCCCCTGAGGTTTGAGAAATTACGAATTCCCCCCTGAATGCTATATTTGCATAAGAAATTAGGGGGTAATTTGTTATGAAATATAAACCTCAGGGGGCAAATTGTTATGAAAATACAAACCTCAGGGGGTGGGATGTAATTTCCGAAACCTCAGGGGGTATCTGTAATTTAGCCAAACCTCGAGGGGTGTATATGTAATTTGCCCTATAAATAGTTTAATAAAAAAGGTGTCTATTGCGTGCCAAATACGTTGTCTTTTAAATGATATATTTTATGAATGTCATATTCACAATTTATCCACTATCTACTACTATTATGCGTGAAAAATTATTATATTTTTTTACTTTTTACATATTTTGAAAATACAGTCTCAAATTTATTAAGGGTTTGTTTGGCATGCTTCTTAGGGCTAAAATATCTATATGAGACAAAATATGTTATTTTAGTCAAATAGGATAAAATGTTATATTCAACCCATAATTATTTTATTTTTTCTTTTACAAAAGTCAAAAAAATTTATTCCAAACGAGACTTTTTAATCCCAAATTAAAATAGTCAAAAAGTCGAAAAGCGAACTCACATATCAAATGAGCTCTAAGGCCAAGTTTGGTAAGTTGAAAAAAAATTAAAAAGCCAAAAAATTGTTCAAAAAGTTAAAAAGTTATCACTATTTATCAAAAGTCAAAAGTACGGTTGCACAATTTCCAATCCTAATTTTTTCCTACACACTAATTTATACAATTTTTTAATATATATTTTTTCATGAAAAGTAAAAAAATTAACCCAAACATTTATATTTTTTTGGTAATGATACATCCCACTAAAAGTGGTGCTCTAAGGCCAAATTTGGTAACCCATAATTATTTTATTTTTTCTTTTACAAAAGTCAAAAAAATTTATTCCAAACGAGACTTTTTAATCCCAAATTAAAATAGTCAAAAAGTCAAAAAGCGAACTCACATATCAAATGAGCTCTAAGGCCAAGTTTGGTAAGTTGAAAAAAAATTAAAAAGCCAAAAAATTACTCAAAAAGTTAAAAAGTTATCACTATTTATCAAAAGTCAAAAGTACGGTTGCACAATTTCCAATCCTAATTTTTTCCTACACACTAATTTATACAATTTTTTAATATATATTTTTTCATGAAAAGTAAAAAAATTAACCCAAACATTCATATTTTTTGGGTAATGATACATCCCACTAAAAGTGGTGCTCACTAAAGTGGTGCCACTAATGAGTTGGCAAGCATTTAAAAAAAAAAAAAACAAAACACAAGGAGCAGGCCCCGTCCATTGCCACATCACTAATGGTGCTTTTAGAGCACCAAGCATTAAATTGTCCAGTTCTCTGTTTTAGACTTATGACTTATGTCTAATTATATTATTTGTATTATGCTATTTGTATAATAATATGCATCATCATTCATAATAATATCATAAATATCGTCACCTAATTGAAAAGGGTCTTACACCACTCAAAGGTATTACCTAAACAGTACAAACCCACAATCAATTTGAGTGGGTGATTATGTTAAAACCACTAATAATGGGTTGAGTACCTTCGATTTTATTTATTTATTTATTTTTTTGAGCTGATTCATTATTCTGAATTATCGTAACATCTTAATTCTTTGTTACCCACTCTATTTCAGATTTCATAACCAAGCAGTCGATTGCATTGTCTCTCAATCAACTCTATTTAACAACCCAGTGGTTGTACAAATAGATAAAAATATAACAAGACACTCTAATTCGTAGACAAACTGCCCACTTATAAGGTTAGGCTTCATACAAGTAGTAACCTTTTTCGTTCATATATGCATAAAGAAAAGCAAACGACTCTTTAGGATATTTTTATAGGTTCAGGCTTTTCTACAGTTAGGTTTTATAATTGGAGCATGTTGTTGGGTATCTGTGGGCCCAATACAGAGTTCACATTAATAATTTGAACCGTCAGTACGTTGGATTCGTGAACTACTTTATTCTTGTAAAAAATCACGTTGATCGAATATCAATAACCACTTGATCAAATCAAAGTACTCAGCGAAGACTACAAATTGAACAGTTCATATTATCAATGTGAGTTTTATGGTAGGTCCACAGAGCCCAATAATATGCTTCTGCCCGATCGGACTGGAGAAAAGTTATTCTTTATTTTATACTCCTTTTGTATACCAGTTATAAATTGATTGATTTTTTTTTTTAGTAATTTAAAAGGTTGTGTCAACAAATTTTCACTTTCTATGGTTTGAAATTTTCAAAATTAATTTTTTGAGTTTTTAATTTTAGATCGACTTATTTTTTTTTATTTTTTAAACCTATTTTGGGTCAATTTGTACATATGTTAACTATTTTTTAGACCTTTAACGGCTGAGTAAATTTTTAGTGACTTCTTAAATTTGCTTATGAAAAATGCTTGAGACCCCCATTTTTTGGAGATCTCTACAACCTCCTTGAATCTCAACCATTAATGTATGTGTGGAACTCACTCATATATGTATGGAGCCCACACCATCAATGATTGAGATCGTAAGGGGGTTGTAGGGGTCTCCAAAAAATGAGGGTCTCAATCATTGTTGTTTACTTATTATAGACATTCAAACACTTAAGCTTCGTTTGGTATTGGCTAATATAGCCAAATTTTTTTTGTGTTGAGACTTTTTTAGTCTCGTTTGGTTTAGATTTTTTAATTTTTTTGACTTTTATGACAGAAAAAGTGTAATGAGTATGGGTTAAATGTGATATTTTTTCTTATTAGCTTACTTAGTATATTTTGTTATTTTGTGCTTTTTTAGTCCCAAAGTGATAGCCAAACCAGGGCTTATATGTGTGATTTGGAGTTTTGACTTTTTTATTAATTTATTTATTTTTTAACTTTATTATGAGATAAAAAAATTAATGCATTTAGTAATGACTTTTTTAATTATATGATAAAAAGGAGACATTTTCAATTAGATTTCTCAATTACAGGGTGTTGTTCGGTGTTGTTGGGTCTATTACGAAGTTTATATTGATGATCAGAATTGTTTAATGTGCATGACTCATTGCCAAACCAGGGCTTATATGCGTGATTTGGAGTTTTGACTTTTTTATTAATTTATTTTTTTTAAACTTTATTATGAGATAAAAAAATTAATGCATTTAGTAATGACTTTTTTAATTATATGATAAAAAGGAGACATTTTCAATTAGATTTCTCAATTAGAGGGTGTTGTTCGGTGTTGTTGGGTCTATTACGAAATTTATATTGATGATCAGAATTGTTTAATGTGCATGACTCATTGAGTACTGCATTCTTATAAAAAAATTATATTGATTGAATATTAATACTTATTTAATCAGATTATATTTATATCAATAATTTATTTTTAAATTATTGAGAATTTTTATTTTATTTTATAATTTCTCCAAAAATATATTAGCAATAAAACCGGGCGAAAGCACTTACAAATATATCACAATTTTAAATTTTAAAAATAGGAGAATGGGCGGGTCAAAGTAAAAAGTCACATGCACACCGACTAGAGACAATCCCGGTTGACAAAGACACTCCACCCTCTGCCTCTGTATTTTTTTTTTTTTTGTCTTTTTCATCACTCTTTATAAAAATGTATTTTTATTCATATTTAGGGGTGGTTTGAAATGATTTAAATTAGTGTATTTTTTAATTTTTTATAAAATATGAGTTGAGTTTGAAGTGATGTAATAGAGAGATGATATGACTTAAATAAAATGATGTGACTTAAATAAGATAGTAATTTTTTGACTTTTTAATTTTTTCAGAGTACCCAAACAAACCCTTATAATTAAGGGGTTGGGTGATGTAGTCCCAATAGTTTGTTTGAGGGTAAAGTTATAAAGTAAATGGCAGATTAATAAATTGACAGATTGATATATTGTAATTTGAGCAATTTTAAGTGAATTGACAGATTAAAAAATATTATAATCAATTATTAAATTTTTTCATAATATATAATACTATTTTATATAATATTTTTCAAAATTGAACAATTTCAACCTCTCCTTCAACAACTGTCCTTCAATAAGTCATATAATTTCTTCTACCCTAATAACTCATTATAGTTACTCTCTCAATTTCACTCCAACAATTTGTTCTGATCGGATTAGAATTATTTGTAGTGAGTCTCTCTGTAATATTTTAAATTCAAGTTTGGCTAACCTAAAAAAGTGCACTTATTTCATCTTTTTATCTTTTTTGGGTCACATCAGTCAACATCTCCTCTCTATTTTTTCTACACATAATACAAAAAAAAGTCAAAAAGTACACTTATTTAGTCTTCCTAAACTTGGCCTTAATACGAATAGGTGAGATTTTAACCGATTATGCAATGTTTTGCATAATCCTACTTACAACCCAACAAATACAAAAAAAAACAAAAACTACATATATAAAACCACAATTTATTATTTTTGTTTTTCAAAATTTGGCGGAGATTTCAAAAATTGAAACCAAATCTATAAAACAGCTCCACAAATACTACTGCGAAGAAAAAAAAAAAAACGTATACACGTATCTATGTATGTAGTGATGGTAGATTTTCTTCTTTTTGTTTTGCGATTTTGAGCGGGAATTCATAAAGCGATCGACACACTGCCTTTTGGGGCGGTGAAGTATTCATGGGTCGGAGTCGGATCAACTCCGATTCTCCCTCCTCCTCTTCATCTTCTTCTGCTGAATCCAGCTTTCGCGAGCTTGACGACGTCTTCTTGCAGGTCCTCTCTCTCTCTCTCTCTCTCTCTGTATATATATATATAAATAATATGCTCTTGCTCATGGCAATCTTTTTTTTTTTTTTTTTTTTTTTTTTTTGGTTGTTGTTTGTAAATTTCAAGTGTGTGGTCTGTATTTCAAATGATAAAAAAAAAAAGAAAAAAGAAGTCAACTTCGCAATTTTGGTTTGTTAGGATAGCCAAGTTGGAAGGTTCTTAAATCCAAGCTATGGAAACAATTAGGTGATGATTTATCTGTGGTTTAATGGAGTATTAGAGTTGCAGTGTTGACTTATTTAATTTCTTGCAAGTTACAGGAATTTTAAAATAAATGAATTTCAAATTTCAAATTAAACAGATAAAAGAGTGTTTGTGTTCATTCATTTTGTTATATGGGGGGATTTGAATGATTCGGTGGCCAATCAAAAGGAAATATTGAAATATGCACATAGCCTCTACTATTGAGCCCTTGTGCTTAGAATAGAGCATCTCTAATCCTTTACTTTTTCTTTCATCAAATTTAAATTTGATGAAAAAGTGCTTAAAAATCATCTCCAATCATTTCATCAAATGCTTATCAAATCAAGGGACAGTCAAATATTGCTCACCCAGAGGTCTAGCAACTTCTTACAAGAACCAGAACCCCCCCAAAGCCCTCTAAGCTAAGAAATGTGCCACTTGCTCACCCAACAAAGATAAAATCATTTACAGATAGAAAAAGATTGATGGCAATTTTTCACATCTTCCATGATAACCTCCCAATCCAAATGCATAGAGATCTTGTTGGTCATGCTAGAAATAATTTGTTGACAAGTGCCCTCAAATTTTCAACTTTTTCAAACCCAGCTCAGTTGCCAAGAGAAGTCTTCCTCTGCGGCCATCACTTCTTACATCCCCGGTTCTGTCTGTCCATCCAAATGTACCCCTCTGCCCATTACGTTCACCCTTGCACTATGTTTTGATTATGGAGTTGGATAGTGATTTGGAAAGATAAGGGAAATGGAGAAAAAATTTAGTATCGATTCCATTCACATTTCCCTCACCTTCTTCCCTTTCCTTTCCAAATCCCTGCCCAAATTCATGAGCCACAACCAATTGCTATTTTATTTTTTTATTTTATTTTAAATTTTAATAATAGGATCAGGTGAGTTATTTATTTATTTGAGTCTTTACAGTGACATCTCTGCTCTACTCTTCTTCGCTGTCGGACCTCAGTGACTTGAGGTAGTCAATTTGGTCCATAAAGTGGGTTGCCCTTCTTGCTGTCTCTTGATATTCTGAAATTATATTTGCCTCTGATGGGCCTATTGCATCTATTTTGGACTTGACACTGAAAACATCTATGATAAATTCTACCTCTTATGCTTTCTACTGGAGTAAAGCCTTGGAAGCAAAAGATCTTGTAATTCATGTTGTCCATGAAAATTGCAAATTGAAATTCTATTTCCACCAAAGAAGTTAAGAGCTAGTCAAAACTGTATTTTACTATTTCATAACTTAATCTCAATAATGACATATGTTTGGCTTGGATTGTAAAAATATTAAAGGAATGTAAGTTACACTTTGGTGTAGGTACCCACTAGCTTGTCAATGAGAAAGATAAGCAAAAATTGAATTTTCTTCTTATTAATTCACAACTGACAAGAATGCTTGGATGAGGAAACAATGAAACTATAAGAGGCAATCAAAGCTAAGATACAGACTTATTTGTCTGGACTTTTCTCATTTCCTTATTAGTGGATTAATTATTAAATGGTAAATTTGTTTCCTGATGGACGTCCCTTATGACCTTGAATGTTATTTTCATTAGAAACCAGTTCTGAGTACTTAGTTTTTCAAGGCTTGAGGCGAAACAAATTTACAAAGTCAATGATTGTAATTGTATTGGTTCTCTCATTTTATTTGTGCAAGCCTGATTTTTCTCGCTCCCAATCATTCAGACTCAAACAAGAATATGGCTTGGAGAAGTCCTGCTCAAGCGATTGGATGACCAGCTGGCAATTTCTGATTTACTTGCTGATGGGGAACTGCTGTATGTTCTTTTCTCTTATGTATTGTGACGCTGCATAGATACTAGATGTGCATGCTTCCATCTCTTATAGTGTCTGTGCATTGTCGGCTATCCTATAAGATAAAACAGTGTTCCTTTTCTTGACACATGTTACTATATTTAGGAGAAGCATATTACCAAATGCCCTGCATTTACGCTGTGTTTTGATGTATTGAATAATATCTACCACGATAGTCTTTTTGTCGTGCTTTGATAATATTATCTGGACTGGTTTTGAGTACGCCCTACCTTTTGAAAAATCTCGATGCAGTGTTTCTATTAAAAACCAAATATGAGTAATATACCATTTCTATTTTCTTTTTCCTTTTGGCTAGAATAGTTAGATTTGTAATACAAAATGATCTCTACATATAGGAAAGTATGTTGGACAAATTTTTAGAAAAAAAGGAAAGTATCTTTCATTGTTGTTGTTTTTAATTTTTATATAACTATTTTTAATTGATTTTAAAGGTTTGAAGTTTCTAAAAGCATATGGACGATGTTGTTGGCAAAGTGCAAGGAACTAAGGCATGTCAAAGGTCATAAATATAAACCAATTGGTTCTAGGAAGAGCAGTGGGAGATATAGGCCATATTCTAATGTTGACTCATTTTTGAAGGTACATTTCACTCTGTTCCTCCTTTTTTTGCGATTGTTCAATATATTGTAGAATTCAGTTGCACTATTCTTTATATGAGTGATTTTTTTTTAGTAATTGCTTGCATACGATGTTAATACTAATTTGCCCTCATAATGGCCTTTAATAACCTTTCATTGCTTTATCTTGACAGAGACACAATAATCTCTAAGATTAGAGGTCAAATTTCTATTGAATATGGGTCAATGAAAGAAAACCTAATAGATAAATTTATTAAATTCATTTAGCATAAGTTTCTGAATTCTGAATTTGTAATTTAATGTTCATTTGAGTTAGATACTCATGCTGAAATGAGATTTCAACATTTTGATTTACTAAATGCCAGTTTGGAATATCTGCTTTGAACCTATTTAACATGTTTGTGTTATTTGTTGCATTGGATACCCTGGCGCCTAGTAATCTCTTATCTGTCATAAGAACAAAAATAATTGAAGCATTCTGATTTTTGAGAACAAAGAAGAAATTAATATTGTTGGAGAGCTTGATATACTTTGTTGGGCCCATTTCTGAACAGCATAAACTTTTGGGACTATTGGTGACTTAACACAGTATCGGAACTATAATAAATAAATAAAATAATTAATATGTATTAAAATAAAAATATTTATAAAAAAAATTAAAAAATTTGCCGTGTCCCCTGCCGTGTCCGTGTCCCCATTTTTTAGAAATTGCCGTGTCCCGTGTCCGTGTCCGTGTCCGTATGCCTGTCCGTGTCCGTGCTTCATAGCTATTGGTGACTTAACACAGTATCGGAACTCAAGTTGGGGGAGGTCTTGGTTTCAAGCCTTTCCAGTTGCATTTGGCCCCTGTTTACATTCTTTCTTTTCTATAGGCATGGATGTTTGCATCTCTTCATACAAGACGGGGTTGCATGTAAGGGAGGGTATTGGAGAGCTTGATATATGTTGTTGAGCTCATTTCCTAACAGCTGAAGCTTTTGAGACAATTGGTGACTTAACGAATACGAAGTTGCTTTCTCAAGACAACTAAATCAAGACTTTTGTAGCCGAGTATGAATGTTTTGTCACTCTGAAATAGCTGTTTTTCTATGATAAGTATTCGAATATCATGTAACAGATTCTGCTTCATTGTGTAACTGAAAGAGCTTGCTCACTGAATTTCTTTGCTGTTGTTAAACTTTTACAACTAGTGAATCCTGTTGCTTGAGTTGATAATCCATGAATGAATAATTAAACAAGTTTTTATCTTGTCTCTCCAATAACTGGATCTAATATCTGACTAAATGCATTGTGTATGGTTCTAACTGCAACTCTTTTTCTTGGTTTTTTGTAGATATGCAAAATTTTGGGATTGAATGGCATTGATCTCTTCTCCCCGTCAGACGCTGTCGAGAAAAGAGATACCCGAAAAGTTTGTATGTGTATACGTTCCCTCTCAAAGAGAGCCAGGTCTAAGCAATTGAATGTAAGAAAGAACACACATATATGCATTTTTATTTCAGTGGAAGTACGTAGAATAGCTACTTTGTATTCATTATGCTAAGAGTAATTGCAAACTATGCATGTTGTAGGTACCTGATTTTGATATTGTGACCTATGCGGTAGCCATGCCCACCAACTTGGTGGGTTGCCTCCGTAGAACCTTGGAACTGTCACAGTGCAGCTTCAAAAGTTCTGCTAATGACAACCCATGTAAAAATTCAGCTTCAAAAGTTAGGCAGGTAAGCCAATATTGTGTATTTCTTGATTAAAATTGAAATTATAGTTGGTGAGTTCTAGTAGTCAATTTATACTTCTTGAAACTTCTGTTTATTAATCTGACTGGCTGATATATTTATTGTTGTTTTTGCTGCAGAAAAATCAAGTTGCAGCCTTTAGAAAACATGATTCTTATTTTGAAGCATCTGATGATTCAGAAAGCCTTTATATGGAAGGGCCGTCTTATAGCTCATCAACAAACTATTCTCATGATACTGCTTTGCTGAGCAATTCAGATGAAGAAAATTCTTCACCCGGAGTATCTTCAGTGGTAAAGAAGTATGCTTCACCATTTAGTGTATCACAAGAAGATTTCCAAGGCCAAGAAAAAGAAGAATATGAACAAGGTCAACACAATTCACCTTGTTCAGCCAAACCATGTGATAATTCTCAAAAGATATTATGTGCTAGGGTTTCACATTTAAACAATGAAGAAAGAAATGTTCATGAAATGGCTCAACTGCATGTCGTTGATGTTGATTTTGGTATTGGAAATGATGCTTCCATTGTAGGGGATTCTTTGGATGACATATCCAATCAGTTGACATATCCAGATTTGGATGTTTTTGGCACTGATAACAAATATCCTTTTCTATTTGATGGTGAAGACAGCATGTTTAATATATTAATGGGTACTGATTCTCATGGATCTAACTCAACTGGAAGGACTTTTCAGAATGGACCTGGAAGGAGATCTTCTGATAATTTTGAAGATGTGGAAGTATCCTCCTCCTCGAACAGCTTCAGCTCTGTATTAGATCGGGCATTGAACTTGGATTTTGATGATCAATCCAATGCAGATGATTTGACAACTGCCCAAACTGAATTGATTAACTTGCAGAATTGTGAGGCTGACAGCATGGATAGTAGTTCGACAAGAGGGTATGAATTTCAGGGAAGCGCTGAGTATGAAAATTCTGTGGATGGTTTAGTTTGTGAAACAAAACTCAATGAGGATCATCATGCATGTATAGATCGGAATGAGGATCTTCTTAATTCAGAATATATAAATGAGGTGAGAATCTCAGGGGAACTTTATTCTTCTAATGTTTTGGTTTGTCTCTCACTGGACTCTTTAACTTCAAACATGCATCACTTTGGTTTATTTTTGTCGGGATTGATTCCTTTCAATTTGTCATGTCTGATCTGATAGGATGAAAGTAAGCGTGAATTTGTGGATAATGTGGCAGAACATTCAGGTGGGAGGAAATATGTAAGTGCGAGGGTCCCACATGGCAAGCCTCACAGAAAGCCACTGCTGAGGGCAGTTGTTGAAGGCACTACTCTTTTTGGTATATTGTGTCTCTTGCTTCATCTCAGGTGTGTACTCTTATAAGGATCACCTGTGTATAGTCTTAATAATACCTATCTTTTGCAGTAACTGGTTCTATTTTTAAAACTCTGTTTTCTTATTTGTCTGTTTGTCGACACTTAAAATTAGCTTTTTAGATTGACTTTTTAGGTTGTGGGCTTAAAAAGCTTTGAATAAGTTGTGACAATTGTTTGGTGTAGCTTTTGCTTAAGTTGTGGAAAAAGTTGAACATGTTTGTTTAAGTGTGCAACCAATTACTCCCACCAGCTTTCATTGGACTCCTTCCTCAGCACCTTCCCAGCCACCCCCCCTCCCTCTACTCCTCTCTCTCTCTCTTGTGTGCACTGCACGCTTGTTTGCTTGCTTGTGCAATTTCTCTCTTTGTCAAGGGGGCTGGAGCTGGGTGTTGTGACCGGAGCCAGTGGTGGTGGGTAGTGGCTGGGCTGGGGATAAGGTTAGGGTTTGGGAGGGTAGGGATGAGGATACAATTGGAAATTTAGGGTAGGGTAAAATTGTAATTAAAAAAAGTATGAAGGGGTGGATGTTCAAAAGAAAAAGTGGGGGGCTATTAGTAACATTTTCGATAAATAAGTTGTGAAGCAATTTTTTGATGTGTAGATCAATGTTTTCAAACCCAGACCGGATCGGCCGGTCGGACTGGTTGAACCAGGAACCGGGCCTTGTTCTGGTCCGGTCTCTTCTTTATCTCTCCCTTTCTAATTGCGAACATATTTTTTTCTGTTCTGGCAAGAGAAGATCATCTCTCTGCTTCGAATCTTTAATCCCTCTTTATTCTCTTCTTTATCTCTCCCTTTCTAATTGCGAACATATTTTTTTCTGTTCTGGGAAGAGAAGATTTTTCTGCACATTTGATATTGAAAATCCTACGTGATTTGTGATTAGATCAAGATTAACTTATTCCAAATCCCAATTAATTCAAAACACTCAACCTAAAATCATCAAACACTTACGAGAGTGATTTTAGTTTGTTTGTTTTTGAGAATAAACAATAAATTGACACAAACTATTTTTTACGTGGAAAAAATCACAATTGAAGAGCCTTCAATTGTAATCAAAAACCACGGGCGAACCGCCACTATCAATCCACTACTGAAGAACAAAAAAAATTACAAAGATACCATACAGATTACCCAACCCAGTCAATTTGTCTCTGAATCTTCTGTAACTCTTTCACCACGCCTTCGTCACGGAATTGATCCTGAAGTTGATTCCACACCACAACTTCTCTTGTCGAATTAACGACTGCGTAGAATCAAACGCCTTTTGGATTCTACGCTTTAATCTTCGGAATCCACCGAAGAACTCTCTCTCTTGAAATCAAAGTCACCAACTCCTTGATGTATGTATTTTAGATCATGAGTGAAAAACTCTTCTCAAAATATCAAGGAAAAAAACTCACCAAACAACCTAGAATAAAACCTCTGAACAAAACCCTAGAATCCTTGAATAAGATCTAGAAAAAGTAAATCTAAAACAGACCCAATCAGCGAATTTATAAAATCTGGGATCGCGCGGTCCGCTCGATCGAGCGTCGGTCTTCCCGCTCGAGCGGAGACTTCAACTTCTGTGATTTCATACAGACTCCACGCTCGAGCGGCAGTTTCCACGCTCGAGCGTCGAATCACACCATCCAGTACTTTGTCAGGCGACTGCAGAGATGCTGAGAGCTGCCAATACCCGCTCGAGCGTAACTTTCCCCGCTCGAGCGGGGAGAACAAAATTTGAACAACTGGAAAACTGAAACCTGAACAACCTTGGTTTTGATCCATGGATTTTGACAACAAAGGGTCCTAACATCATGGTTCAACCGCTTAGACTCGACGGTTGAACCGGTGACCTGTCCATCCGGTCTCTTTTCCGGTTCGCTCACCGGTCCGGTTTTGAAAACATTGGTGTAGATGTCCCAAGGAGTTGTTTGGCATAATCTACTTTAGCATATTTTTTTTTATCTTATTTAGGTCACATCATCTTTTTACCACTTTGTATATATTTTCACAAAAAATAAAAAATATACTTATTTAGATCATCTAAAAAAGCACTTTTATGGACATTCTTGTCCAACACATAAAAGTTGAAAATTGCAATCTAAAAAAAGCATCTATTTGGTAGCTTTAAAAAAGCCAGCTTTTTCTGTAAAAATAATTGATTAAGCTAATCAAAGTTCCGAGAAACAGCCTTTTTAAAGTTATAATCCATAAATAAAAAAAAATTAAAAAAGAAAAAACTTATAAGTTTGCCAAAATGGGATATATATATATCAGCTTTACCTTCCCATTTCTGTGGTGGTTATTATTGTTGATGTTCCCACTTCCTCTGCAGGAGCAAAAATGGACGAGAGAAGACAGGTGATGGTTGCAAGCGATCTAGTTATGTTCAAAAGACAAATGGCATGGAGTTCACATCAAGGAAGGAGCGAAATGGAGGTAGAGTACATGGGATTTATCCAGCTGACAAGCTTAATTAGACTCAGTTCTAGTGGATATGCACACAAGCTAGACACAGTTTTTTGATCTTTGAATTTGCACCAAAAGACGCATTGGTTAGTTCTTCTGAGTACAACAAACATTTATAGTTTACTTTCACAGGCTAATATTATTATGCTAATGTACTATTATTGTCAACATTTTTCATGTAATTTATGTTTGGGTAGGTAATGCTCCTTGTGCATTGGCCGCCTTCTTGTTTTAGTTTAAAATCCCGCCATATGAATGGTGATGGAAGAAATATTCTCTAAGCTTTGTATCATATTCTTTTCGCATTTTGCATACTGTGAGTGCGATTGTGTGTATGTTGCAATTTTTGTACAAATACTGATGATGTGTTTGGTAGGAAGGAAATGAAAGGAAGATTAGGGAAAGTTTGAAACTTTTTCTTCACTTTGGTTGGTTTAGGTGGGAGGAAAAAGAAAAGAAAAAGGGTATAGTTTGAAAAAAATGGATAAGTAACATTATTAAAAAGCAATGGAAATGCTCAGATTAATGTTAATTTTTAAAAAGCAATGGAAAAGGCAGGGCTTAATGTTAATTTTTTGGTCTAGGCTCTAATGGAAATGCTCAGATTTTAGCATTCGTTTGGCAACTTGAGTTGGGTTGGGTTGGTTTGGGTTTGGGGCTATTTCAGTTATAAAAAAACAAAATATATTTTTTAGTCTAATAAGATAAAATGTTACATTTAATTCATAATCATTACATTTTTTTTTTATAAAAAGTCAAAAAGTTTATTCCAAATGAGATTTTTTAACTCTAAACTAAAATAGTTAAAAAATTAAAAAGTTAAAAAGTTAACTCAATTTTCAAACTGTCTTCTGTTTATCTAACAGAGGTCATCGTTGAATTCTTTCCTCCACAGTTTCTGTTTTTGTGTTTTTTTACATAGAGCTCTATAAAAATCACAGTACTTAATGTAATGGAGATTTTAAACAAAGAATTTTAATCCGAGTTTTTAAACATAAGTGGATAAGTGTAAAACAACCACAGTTGAGGGGTTTATTGTAACATATTCTCAAAATACAATAAGATCTTAAAAGTGTAAAAAATTTTGAAATTAAAAAAAAAAAGAAGAAGTTTACTAAAAACAAAAAGGTTAACCCCAAACAGCCACTTTTGTATCAAAATCATTTTTTTGTAAAAACAAAATTTAAAAGCAAATAAATGTTGAAACAAAACCACTGACAATAAACAACACTTCAATTATACTCGTAGCAATAATACAGAAAAAAATCCATGTAACTACTAAATATATATATAACTGTAGTATGTTTAGTAATCAAATAATACCAATAAATAAATAAGCATGAAGTCAAACTATAAACCAATTAATTTACGATATCGAATATCATTCTAAATTCAATGAATGAAATTGTTATTGTTATTATTAGAATGGTATTGAAAAAAAATATAATTTTTTAAACTGAATGTCAAAAACCCCTCACTCTCCATACAAACTTTTAAAAGTGTTTTTTGGGGACTTCTTTTTTAATGTCCCTCAAATGACGATTTTATTACATAAATGACATGAAATATTTTTATAGTAGTTGGGATCCCTTAAATTTTTATAGAGAAATTTCGAAACAAAGAAATTTTGATCCAGAAAAATTTTGAAGCAGAGAAATTTCAATCCAGAAAAATTTCAAAACACAAAGAAATTTGTCTGAAATTTATTTGGTTTGCTCATAAATTTCTTTGTGTTTTGACCGCTTTTGGCTGGTGTGGCTTGTTTGATTTTCACTGGAATTTCTTGGGAATTTCTATGGGCAATTTCACTGGAATTTCTCTGGACACATCACAATCTCTTTAGAATTTCTCTATGTGTGTGTGTGTGTTCATATTTGGAATTTCTCTGGACACATCACAATTCCCTTGGAATTTCTCTGAGTGTGTTTGTGTGTTCATGTTTGGAATTTCTCTGGCATTTTCACTAGAATTTCTCTAGACATATCGCAATCCCCTTGAAATTTCTCTGAGTGTGTTTGTGTGTTCATGTTTAGAATTTCTCTGAACATATTACAATCTCCTTAGAATTTCTCTGAAGTTGTTTGTGTTCATGTTTAGAATTTCTCTGGGCATTTTCACTGGAATTCTCTCTAGACACATCACATTTCCACAATCTTTGAGAAACTTCACACAGTGACCATAGTCAGAGAAAATTCATACAGTTACCACAGTCAAGAGAAAATTCACAAAATTACAAACAGTGACCACAACCAGAGAAAATTCATATAGTGATTACAGCCAGAGAAAATTCATACAGCTAGAGAAAATTCATAAAATTACAAACAGTGATCACAATCAGAGAAAATTCACATAGTTCCCACATCTTGAGAAAATTCACACAGTCTAGAGAAAATTCAATCTGATTTGCTCACACAACTTTCAATTTGATTTGCTCACAAAATTCACACAGCCTCTACATCCCCAAAACACTCAACCTAGATCACAAACTTCATCTTCTTGTCTACTTTCATGGTATTAAATCTAAAATTTCATGTCATATGAAAAAAAAAAATGCAAGTCCATTGTCACCAACATTGATTAACTTTTTAAATCAAAATTCAACCTTATCAACAGATTATTATTTCATTCAATAGACAAAACAAAAACAAAATCTAAACAAAATTGTTCCTTAATTAGACTTTTTTAAAAAAAAAAAGAAAAAAAAAGAAAGAAAACAAAGTTATCTGTGATGGAAAATTCGGGTGATTAACAGTCAGGAACCCCTGAGACTCCAAACACAATGCATCATGGGCTAAGTAAACAAACCTGCCTTTTCCCTTCACATTGTCTAACATATTGCTCGTATAAAACTGGACTTCGGGCTGATTACTCCACGACTCCATCTTCCTCCCCGATTTACTATCTTGCACCACCGCGAGCTTCTTGAAATGTTTGTTGTCACCTGTCAAAATATTTTTAATAAAAATATATATATTAGTTATTGGATTTATGTGAACTTTTTTTATAAAAAAAAAAAATTTAGGATAATCCAATGAGACGGGTCTAAAAAGTAAAAAAAAAAAAACTCAATTCACTTGTGGCCGAAGCAAACATCGTTGTCATTTCTGTTGATTACAGAAGAGCCCCTGAGCACCCTCTTCCAGTGGCTTACGATGATTCTTGGGCAGCTGTCAAGTGGGTTGCTTCTCACTACACCACTAATGGTGGTTAGGTATGGCTAAAGGACTACGTTGATTTTGATCATGTTTTCTTTGTAGGAGATAGTGCAGGTTCTAATATAGCACACAACTTGGTCATTCGGGTTGTATTTGAATAGAGATGGCAATGGAGAACTTACCCTATGGGTATTCATGATGATCCTACCAAAATATATGAATTTTTTCCTTTTTTCTTATCGGTCGGGTCAGGTAAGTGATGTTTTTCAAATATTCATAAGGTCTGGAGGGAATGGATACCCACCCATTTTCCTCATATGTTGTGTTTAGAACTAGGTTCTCATTCTCACAATGAGCCTAAGCAGATCAAAGTCTCACTTTGTGCCTGTTTGGCAGAGTTTAATTACAACTTATTTCAGCTTTCAGCTTAATTTAAGCTATTTTGATGTGTTTAGTTTAGCTTATAGCTTATAGCTTATAGCTTATAGCTTATAGCTTTTTAGAAGTCAGAAATCAGCTTATTTTTTGAGTGGGGCAGGAGATGCTTTAAGAATAAGCTGAAAATCAGCTTAAGCTGAAAGTTATAAGCTATAAGCTGTTGAGCCATAAGCTATAAGTACTTTCCCACAGCTCTACCAAACAGGGCCTTTCTCTCCGTCCTTTCTCTTTCTAAAACTATCACCGCTTTCTCTCTCTCTCTCTAAAGAAAAATACACGTGCAGAGAGGATCAACGGTCGAGTCGGTGAATTTCGATCCTGACATTTCTATCAATCAGCGAAGAAAATCGAAAGTTCGTTGTTTGTGAATTATATATAAATCTCTCAACTTTACCTTGTTTTCTTCTTTGATTTGTATATTATTTTGTTGAATTTAGGTAATGATCTCACCGAAACTGTGGAATATTTTGTGTGATGAATTAGGGACCGTTTGGTTGCCGAGAGAGCTCGGGAAAAAGAGATTATTGTTTTCTTTTTTTGAATTAGGGACCGTTTGGTTGCCGAGAGAGCTCGGGAAAAAGAGATTATTGTTTTCTTTTTTTTTTTATGGTTTTTCATCAACTGAGGTACGGGTGGGCGCGAGTCGGTTGCGGCTACAGAACCTCTAATCCGCCATCCGTCCGCCAAATTGACGGATTAATTGGAGAAAATCAATCCGCATCTGTCCGCCAATCCGGCGGATGTGGGTTGAGCGGATTGACGGTTTGGCGGATGGATGCGAATCGGTTTGGCGGTTTAAAATTTTATAAATTTTCAACATAATTCAACTTGTGTACTTCTTCAAAAAAAAGAATAAGAAAGTATTACGGTCAATGACTTAAAAAAATATTACAATCACTGCATGCCTCATCCACATACTACAAGCACAACATGTCTTATCCATATAAGGTATTACAATCTGTGATTCTTAAAATATAAAAACAATTCAAACCACCAAAACCATGAACAGAGCAGTAGTAGAGATTGCATGTCTCTGTATTGTTACATCTATATCTGTTTTTGAAAATAAAAATCAACTAGCATATATCATTATTTCTATTTATTATTTTTAGAGATAGATTTATAAACCAAAAAATATAGATAAATAATATGTTTATTTTTTTCAATTCAAAAAAGATATTCAAGTTGAAAACTTTTTCTCAACAGAATATTTAAACTTTTTTTAATTGAAAACACAAACAGAATATTTAAACAAATTGAAAACACAAAATCTTATAAATTACTAGGAGTGCTCGCGGTTTGGCGATTCGGTTGCGGCCAAAGGAATCTCAAATCCGCCATCCGTCCGCTAGATTGGCGGATTGGAGAAAATCAATCTGCAACCGTCCGCTCGTCATCACGCATCCATCTAAAATGCGGCGGATCGGTTCGGTTCGATTGGTTTTGGCGGATCGATATATCCGCTGCTCACCCCTAAACTGAGCTTGGTATCTTGTTGCATTTGATTTGGCTTTCTTAGGTAGTAAGAGAAGATAATTGAATGGGTGTAGAAATTTTTGACTTTTGGATTATTTTCAAGCATTTATTTAGATGCCGTTTGATAACACTTACGTTTTTAATTTTCTGTTTATATTTATAAAAATTTTAAAAATTCAAATAAAAACTTGTTTGGTAAAATTTTTGATTTATAAATCAGTGGTCTCAGTTTATAAATTTGAGAAAAAAATGTCCTGTTTCGTTTTGGAAGTTTTTTTTTTTTACCACCCAACACTAGCCATCATCCGCACCATTTTCCACCACGTCTTTTACCC